TTGTAGGCCGCCGGCGCGGCTTTCCGGGGGCAGCCCAGCCGCGCTGCCTCCGACCCCCTTGCCGACGAGACGGCCCTTCCCACCCTCTGCATGCGGGCTGGTCACGGGTTTGCAGCCCGAGTTGTGGAGAAACACTCTCTCGTCAAGTCCCGCACTACGGAAGCCTCCTCCCTCTCCACCTTCCTATAAACACCCTCTGTCACAGGTCTCCACAGACGGAGGAGAGAGAAAGTATCACCATTCACAGATTTCCCCCGGTACTTGCTTGACATCTAAAGAATCCAACTATTAAATTACCTTGGTGAGTCTGAAATGCATCTCAAAAGCAAGAAGCAAAGCAGCTTTTTATTCATGTTACAGCACAGCAAGCCCTTTACTGAGGCCCCAGTTAAATGCTTTATTCAACAAGAGACTGCAAGCAGGTGATTAAATTTAGGCAAGGGACTTCAATAGATGCTTCTGTGCCCCTTGAAGAGGATATTCAAACTCCAGCCATGATGGGAGAGACCCAAGTAATGTCAGCCATGCAAAATCACAATATTATAAATTCTTTCATACATTAAGATTTTATTAAGTGCTTTGTATTTAGCATTTAAAATGAGACACAGTAAAGGGTAAACTGCATCACATTTGGTATAGTTAAAATGATGCTACTAAGGTATTTTCAGTGTTTTAAAAATAATTAATTCCATGAAAGCTTCAAAAGACAATCTGTGCTCTTGTAAAAGAAAAATGCTCATTAAAGCACGTATTTGAGCAAACCCTCCCATATACAGAATTAGATGGACTTTGCAAACAGATCTGAGTAAATGAAGGTAGGTCCAATTAATGCATACTAAATCTTGACAGTATCCCTCTTATCACTTAAAAAAAAGAAAAAACCTCTCCTACCCTTTTTGTTTCACTGCCACAACATCCTTCTTTCAAGATCAAAAGCTTTAGATCAAAGCCAAGATCAAACTCTGTGCTTTCACTATGAAGCATTACACAAAGAAGAACTTTTTCTTAGAGATATCACAGTAGAAAATCTTACTATAGATTTTTATTTCACACTCACAACAGATCTACTTGAAACTGGTATCAACATTTTTTTTTTATTATTTTGTAAAACCACAACGGATTTTCTACTGAATGGTAATTCTGAAAGCTCCTACAAATTGAGTCTTGAGCTGTGTGCATTTGAATGAAGAAAGAAGAACAGCATAGTTCAAAGAGAATGAACAATATGAACAAAATTTATGTCAGTGGCAAACATAAATAAATGCAACTACCTAAACAATATTCCCTCGGGCCAATTAACAGATTAGATTGCGCATTCCCACAGAAGTTACGGCAAACACTGGGTCATAGAAAGAATGAAACAGATGTATACTTTAAATCCTGTAGAGAATTACACTGCCTCTCCTGTCAAATGGTTGGAGAAAACAAGGGAAAAAAGTTAGATGAGACATTGATTTTCAGACCTCCAGTCCCTGAGACTGATTTATGATGAATATTCCTGAATATGCAAGCACAACGTGTTAAAACTCAGATGTAGCTCCTGTTTTCCAGTTAGTAGCTGCACAACAGCGAAGGAAACTCAACAGGAATTGTTATCCTCAACGTCCTCTTTTACTTGGCAGGATTTTCAGAGATTGCTCACAGAGCCATCCTATGAACGCTTTGTTTCGAGAACAAGCATTTATACATGTCAAAGCATGCTAGGATCCTTCATTCTTGCAGCAGCAGGATTAAATATAACTGAATTTTGAAATAGGGGGAGGACAGACCAATTGGGTGAAGACAGACCCAATATCCTGGTAAATAACTTAGGCAATGATTTATACCAGCTATTCTTCAAGTCAGACCAGATCCCAAGCATACAATGAACCTTCAGGATTGCACATAGCCTAGAAAACAATAGGATATTTGTGCAACAGACAACTGTGTCATCTTAAATTGAAATAGAAACTGATTTTAGATTGTTCAGGCTGTGATGGCTACTAATGATATTTCATAAACCACTGAAAAATTATAATCATGCACTTTTCCTTTGCGTAAGATGTCTGTAACTATATCTGCTCTGTGCTACTCTAATGCTAAACATTCAATATTGATAAAAAGAAGGTTGTTTTATCTAAGGTGAACACTGAATCATTGGCATTTTGTTGGCTTGCCAGAAGTCCTCAGATATTGGAAATCAAAAAGAAAAAAATTTAAAATGGAGGAATGAAAATATTTACTGTAAATGAAAATATTTACTGTAAATAAATTTCAGAAGAGCTTCTGCAAAAAGAAAATTGATAACCAACACAGTCAAGTAATTTTCCAACCTCTCATTTGTAGAGATTTTATTTTTCCTCTCAATTAGTGAATTTTACACCATGTATACACACTCACATATATACATATTCAGATCTATGTGAACACCAGCAAGGGCACAGAAAAGTCTAAAGATTTTAGCATTATGTCATGTTTTCTCCTAGAGGATGTAGCTAACTTTACCAGTCTACAAGTTGGAACTTTTAGCTTTCTACATCTTCCTATATAACATAAATCAAAAAATGGTCTCCCTCCTAGTTTCATTCTATGATATTGGAATGATACTGCCTGCTTTTTAAGGCTGATGCCATCGCGTCTGTGATACCAGTAAAGGATAAATTAAAGGAACTATGATAAAATTCAAGATACATAACTGTTTTCTTACCATACAGAAGATTTATAGGAAAAAAAAAAAGAACACCCATTTAAGTTGGAAAATTAACTTACTTGGAAACCGAGAATACAATGTGCCCTCAGAACAGTCTGTGTGACCTGAAAACTGCTTCAGCACAAGAGACCTGGCTTCTCATCTTTTGTAAAAAGGTTCAGAAAATGAAAAGTATTTTATCCAGTATCTCATTAGATTATTAATTATGGCTTGAAACATTTGACTGCATTCCCCAAGGACAACAATTGCCAGGATTTTAAACCACTACTGTTATCAAAATTTGGTAGAGAAATTAATGAAGCAGTGGGCTACAACTGAGAGTGGCAAGATGGCTGGTGCATCCACATTGCAAGAAGCAGTATATAAGTGGCAGATCAAAATTACTGAACAAGAAATCCAGCCCAGAATGTGCTTCTGTAAGAACAGTAAGTCCTCCAACTGATTTTGTGCCGTTCTCATGGGTACACCTTTATTCACTGAGATGGAAAGTTAAGTTGTTCTGACATTATCCATATTTTAACGAAGATGGTTGTTAATATTGATGCTGTAAGTCTAAATGTTCTCATTCCTCCAACAGTCTCTGTGGTGGCGTAAACACTCTCTTTTCAGATCAGCATGCTGTATCTGATATTCCTCTCAATGTAACACCCCTACAGAGACATTATGTTCAAGTCAAACTTGTCCTTCCTAAAAATATCTCTACCTCCGAGAGACAAAAACCTGTTGAAACAATAACTTTGAGGATACTTTTAGTACACTGCTACATGACTTTCACATACTGTGACAGGAATATTTTTTTCAAAGCGGTAAAATACAAATTAGAAATACATCCTTCATATCCACATTATCAACCTTGCTTTGTGGAGAAAGTTCCTAGGTAAAGATGAATCACTGTACCAGCTATTTATTTCAAGATCAGATTCATAATCTGATAAAATATCTCTGACCACATCTCTAAAAAATATGCTTATTACTTATTACTAAGTAATAGTATGTAATATATAATGATATATAATTTATGTATCATATTGCATTACGTTATCTATATTGTAATAACATTTTTAGAGTATGCTAATTTTTTTTTTTCTCTCCTTATTTCACCAGGAGCTCTCACTACTATATGGGTGCCTCTCTGAAGCAACTGGAAAGTAGATTATTGGTTTTATGTTTAGGCTTTTCTGCTTGAGAAGTATTCCCATGCACTGCAAACTTTCAACACAGACCATACTGCAAATTACAGCACCTTCCTCTATAATTATCAAAATATTTCAAAGATACAACACTTTTTAATACAATCATGCATGGAAGTAAGACCTCAGATTTCAGGTCTGTCAATTTAAAAGTAATTTGAATCCAGACATTTTGAACCCAGAGGACAATGACTAGGGCTCCGGTTTCTTTGAAATAAGAGAATCCTCTATAAAATTCACTTTGGCTCCACCCAACACCAAGATCTTGGTAAGCAATGGATAGTCACTGGCTGCCCAAACTACAGAGGGCTTTGAAAACCCTTTGTTGGGGGTTTTTTGTTGCATTGGTTTTTTTCAAATTACAGACAAAACCAAAGAAAACCATGTCTGAACATGGATCCTGGACAGTCCTGCACTACTAATGTGACAAGCATCCTTTTCCAGTGCAAAAAGACTCAAAGAAAATGAGTCAGATTTCATTTCTTGTTGAAGAAATCAAATACATCTTTCAGAGATACTGACCACTGAGTCTTACTGATCCTTGAAGCAATCAAAAATCTGTCCAACAGCGCTAGTAAAGAAGTATATTCAAGACAAAAATCCATTAGCCCTCTGGCCATGAAATACTGTTAGCCCATATGCTAAGGATAACCATAAGCTGAATCACGACATTTACTGCTCATTTTTGTATTGACCAATAGCTTTGTCAGCCAATAGACTTTTCAAACCTATCTTTCTCCAGACACCTTCATTTCGTTATTGAAATTTCACTGTAGGCTTAGAAGGGAGTACGCAGAATACTTGAAGCATCCTGGAAAAACATCCCTTTCTTAATGAGTTTTAGAAGAATCACTTACTTCCTCCACAATTAAACAGAAGGTGATCATCATCTATATCTTCTGTCTGGCTATGAAGCACTGCTAAATTAAAAGGTAATGACTGAAGGTAAGA